AGGTTTAAAACTTGCTGCAGTGTATTCAAGGAAGATGGAACAGAATAGGCGGTCTGAGCAAAGTGAGTGGACACAAACCAAACAAAATCCTGGGAATGTAGATTGTGACTGTACTGCCTTTGTGACATCTTAGAATATAGATAAGTCTCCAGCAAGCGGGTAGATAATGATGGCCAGTATACCCTTGCATATAAAGCAGTGGTGTGTGGAGTTTACTTTTTTGTTATAAAATTGTAGAGCTCCATGATAAACATGGAGCATGTAGAGAGCACGCTGGGGTGTTCATATTTACACCACTAAAATTCAGCACACGATGTTTATAGGCCACAAAGGAGAAGCATGAAATATTACTTCTAAAAACATTGCCTTTGTTTTGTCAGCATTAAGAAGAATGAATTTAAGATGAAGGAGGTCTATTGTTGTCTATTTTAGTATGTCAGATGTTGGTTGTTTAATTTTGATTAATTTAACTTACAGAACAAATTACTCTTGATGGGATATAAAACATTGTACAGACAGGTATCCAGGTGAAAGACTGAACCCTTTACCTCCAGGGACAACAATAATCCTCTCTTAGCAGCAAAGTAGGTTTCAGAGCAGCAGAATGACTTTACAGCCACATGAGACATGTGATATGTTCTTGCAACAGAGTTTCAAAGCTTTCCCWTTACAAATATCTGTACAGCCTCTCCATGGATTCAAACCTGACTCAATCTCACATCAGTCTCAAAGCTTGCAATGACAAATAGATTTCAAAATAAAATGTGCACATTTTATCAAATGTTCTTCAGTTTAAGTCTTGTGCAACGTCAATTGTCTTTTTTTAATAGACACAAAATTACACACATTTCATTTGATTTTGTTACAGTTTGTTTTAAAAAGATTTGTTATTGAGTCTTAAATGCACTTCATACAGCTGTGGTGTAGTTTGGGCAGTTGTGGTTTAGTAGTAGAGCAGCTGGCTTGGGACATGCATTGATGACCAATTGAGTAGCTTTACCTTTTATACACATTTTTATTGAGATTTTTAAAATATAATCTTTTCTATCCAATACTGTGATTAAAATACAGGGAATAAATTATGATTTTAGAAAGGCACAGTACCGTGCCTTCTTGTCCAAGTTATCCCTTGTGTTAAATCTCGCAGAACAGAACCTCAGAGGCTTAGTTTAATTCACACCTCGCATTATAACACATTTTTTATTTAAGCTTGCAGRACTTTACTGAATGAGTGCCGAATCACCCAGACAGGCGAGATAACCTAGCTTTTAACAAAACACATTTAAAAAAAACTTACTTCCTGTATGACTGCTAGTCTCATTTCTGTTGCGCAGTCATATTTTCTTTGTAATGACATCTACTGTTGAAATGAAGAGAACTACACTGAGAAATCAGGGTATGTACAGAAATTCTCAAGTTAAATTTAATACATTTTGATTCCTTTTTGAATACCGTTACAGTATTTTTTAATAACACCACTGAGGCACGAGTATAGCTGCAATCTTTTGAACTTCAGTTGTGGTTAGCCATTTCTTAAAAAGGTAATAGATTGTCATTTTATAACTTTTGTAGTAAGTGTAGTATTACTACAGTTACTGGATACATAGTTACTCATTTGCCTCAATAAAAACAGACCTATATACACAACAGAGAGGCTGGAAAAAAACAGTTGGGTACTTACAAAAATTAATAATTCATGTGATGTTTATTATTTTTAAATGGCCTTAATTTTTAGTAATTTTATTTACTAACTTACAACCCTGTAGACATCCTGTAAATTAAGTTCTTTAAAACCAGGTACTCCACCAGATTGATCACAGCTGGTTTGCACCATGGCCATGCACAAATATCTGACATCAACTTGTTCATTTAAACTCAAAATGAATCAAATGTGTCTACAATGGCAGAACTTCTGGAGATTATACAACAAAAAACAAACAAAACAGTCTTTATTATAATCACAACTTTTCACAATAGTGCTACTGCCATCAAAAAAAGTAAAAATGGAGACAAGATGAAGAGGCTTTGATCCATAGCGATGACAACAACAGCTTTTCTTTTGTGTGAGCAACAAGCACACCTTCAGATGGGTCTTCCAGCACTGCTGGCATGTTTGTGAGTCTGTTGTGTCCTCTGCTCAGACATATCCAGGCAATGTTATTTCTAAACAACAACCTAAGGATGCGTCATTGATTCTATAGCCTTAGGGCTCTTTGTTAGTGACATTTATTGTTAAATTGCTTTGGATATTGAGCTTTCAAAAAATGTTTTTTCTAGGTAAATGATAGTRTTTTATACCAGCATACATTTGAGTATAAAAAAGGTATCTAAAAATGAACAGCGAGCAGATGTCACTGCAGAGCGACAACATAGATAAACAGCCTCAATCAGCATGTTTCGCCTCCTACTTCAGACACCAACTTGGCTTTGTGACCACCTTCATTACTGTCTAAGAAGCACTATTGCAGCAGATCAACTTCATCTACCGTTTTACCTCTTTACTTTCATACAAAACTGTGAAAGCAAAAATGCAACAAGTCTAAAAGGTGTTTTGTAAAATAAAAAAGGTTTTAAAGAATTTAATATATGTAGAGCTACTTGATCTTTAAAAAAAACAGAAACCACAATCATTAACTGAGTATAAATAAAGTCTAACAGACTTCACATGGGTTTAGGGCTGCACAATATATTGCAAATATTTTGTCATCGCAACATCAGTGTGCGCAATACACTTATTGCAAAGGACTGCTTCAAATGCAATAATTGTTAATTATGTATTTGAAGAGTGTTGAAGTTGTATTTTTCATGCTAATGCAATATTTAAATCAGAAGGACAGAGTCTCACAGCAGCAAAAGCTCACACCAGACATCACCGTATTTTTTTTATATTGTACAGCCCTACATGGATTAAATATGGCCAAGGAGCCAGAAGAGGCCTTGAGCAGTCGATTAGAAACTAGCCTTTTCTTTTGGAGGTGATTGGTTAAAAAAAAATGTTTAAAACTGGATATCTTTAATGTTAAAGTTTAACAAATTGAAAAGCCTGTAGAATAAAAAAAATAGTATTTTATCAACCTGCTGCCTTTAGAGGTTTTAACAAAACAGCTCGTTAACTTAAATATATGTCTTAAGTCCAAACAGATAGTAGGTTTATAAGGAGTGACTTCTCCCTGACCACAGGCTAACCTATAATTGGGGGCCCCAATATCAGCCTGCCTAAAACACAGCTTACTATTCACATTTTAAAATAGCAAGTTGTCCGGTGGGGCAAAGCAACACAGAGCAGAGTAAGGTGGCATAAGTACACTTCCCTAACCACACATGATCTATTTGAGAACACTGTCCACAGCCACTTAAGTCAACTTTGATGTACATTCATTTTTGTATCTTCATAGAAGGAGGTGTCAGCTCTCTAAAACATTTGCTGACAGACCAGTGTGAAGATCCTCTCCTTGCACTTCCACAATGTCAAGTGATGAAAAACATGAATGCTGTGTACATTCAATCTCTGACAAGGTCTTCATTTCTGCTGAGCCTACACAAGATGCAAACGCGATACGGATTTAAAAAAAAAGGTGGGGGGTGGGGGGGGGCAGGTTTACGTGTCAAAAAAGTCAATTAGATACTAGGGAAAGACAATTTGGACAGATAGGCATTCAAAGCAATCATTTTTATGCATTACATTTTGAAGGAGCTTTACATGCCCCAAATAACTGACAAATTGAACTGTGAAATATCTGAGCGCAAAATTAAGAGAAGCTACAAACAAAAATTTATTCACTGCTACAAAATTACCACTTTGGAACTTCTAAGACAATTTATGACTCACTTTATAGATCCATTAATTAAAATGCTCAAGTTATAGTACTAAAACTGTAATAATTACAAACTTCCTGGTTTGATTTAGAGACTGTCAGAAACTGAAACGTGTGCTTGGTAGATAACTGTTACAACGACTGAGTTACCCTTGGAAAAGACCCTGAACACCCAGCTGCTCTGATGGAGACAAATAGTTGAAGTTTGTCTTTGAAAGTCAGGGGATTAATGTGAATAAACTTAAAAATCACAGCCACTTTTTAGAAAGAAAGGCCCTAATTTATAATTATTCAGTGACAAGTTGTGTCTTGAACCTAAAACATTGACCATTTGATTAATTCATCTTCTCAAAAGATGAAATAATCTGAAATTTTAATACATACTGTATTTTTTTTATTTTACAATTAAGAAGCACCTGCAGATATAAAACCTTAATAAAAATATAAATCTCATTTCTTATTGTGAATACAGAAATATTTAAAAATATTTGTGTTTRATTATCAAAGTTAAGTTCTTAAGCACATAAAAAACTACAAGACAGAGGCTGCAGAAATCCAATGTGGTAAAAATCCATCCAAGTAAGCGCCTCCGGCTTGTAAAATTTCTAGTAGGCAATCAGTTAGCTCAGTTAACACGTTGCTTTGAGAACTATTTTCATCCCTTTCCTTCAGAAAGGCACAGCCACATAGATATAAAACAAAAACATTGAAAGCTTTAGAAGAGGAATAGACAGGATGGTAGGACGATGTGTAAAGCACATGCTTTTTACCCTTCCCCCTTCCTGAACAGTAGCAGATGACAATAGCTTCTAAACCAGGGCATGTCAGACATCCTGACAAAGGCAGGCTCCTCCCAAGCTGCTGAGTCCCAGATCCCAAATAAACATAGCCACAGGAAGAGGGCAAGAGTCAGGGATGTGGTGCTTGGCATGCCTGGACTAGCAGTGAAACAAACCCTTTTCAGAAAAACAACACGTCCGCGGAACTATAAAATTCAAGCTGGACAAGGAAAATCCCTTGAAACACCACAGGGCTCAGTCGCATTCTGCCTAATCTGGGGATGCAACATGAAAAATATATATAACCTTAATTTACACAGAAATGTTAGAAATAAACTGAGAAATCAAGTCTCGAAATATACTGCTAAAGGCTGTAGAACGTGGACGCCGTTGAGCTCTTACTCACATGTAGGCAGGCGAAAGGGGTGAGGACCTGGATGTCTTAAGAACTGGCACTGGGAATTTCCAGCTGACGGGAGAACCGCTTTTCCATTTTAACGGCATGTTGTCACCAGAATGGTGCTACAGCAATACCAACAGCAAAGACCATTTCCATGAAAAGGTTCCCAATGCAGTCTTCCATCCCACTCTGCCCACACCATTTAAGGAGGAGGGAGAGCAGCGGTGGCACCAGCAGCAGCACAAATCCACTGGTCCAGGAAGCGCAGGCTACAGTCAGGGGTTGTGTCTTTAGCAGCAGCGCTGGGAAGCCAATAGATTGCATTTGATGCGACTGCTTGTCCTGCTGCATTCACAGTTCTCGCATGGTGGGGGGTGGTGGTGAGAGAAAAGCCCTGCCTTCTCATCACCTTTTCAAAACCCGGATAGTCAGCGGCTATGCAGCAGTGCCACCTTGTTGAAGGGGAGAGAATTACAACAAGGCTTTGGATTCAAACAGGGAGAGATGCACAAAATTACAAACAGTTCAAATAAAAACTACAGTACAAGCATGTCATTCATCTTAAAAAAAATAATGCATCTAAAACCAGTAGAGATTCAGGAAAGCATTATGCTGAATGACATATTCGTATATGTATCTACTGTAAATTTGGTTTTCCTCACATGAACAGAACTGCAGTTGTTCCAACATTTCTTCACTGAATAGTTTGCTATGTATACAGCAGTAGCTTGTTCGTATACAAACGTGTGACTCTGCAGCTAAAAACAGCTACAGGAGCTCATTCAGAGGTCTCATACTAATTCCTATACATCGAGACTATGACGGCGATTATGGCTGCAATCATGGGATGACAAAACAGTCACTGTTTGCAGATATACAGATACACTATGTTCATAATTATAGCTCTGACAGATTCAGTTAAACACAAACAACAAGGTCAAGCAATGTGCACAGCACAAATGCACTGACAGAATGCACTAAGCCTCCAGCAGCTACAGCATTTCTAAACACACATGCTATGGTTATTAAAAGCCACACAAGCTCTAATTCTGTGGTATATGTAATAACATAAGTAGTACAGTAAGTAGAGCACAGTCAGACTTATTTGTAGTAATAAAACTAAATGTCAGCAAACCACAGACTTTTTAAAAGCTGCAACCAGTGGCTGAACAGACTTCAGACAAACAGCTTTCAGAGAGGAGAAGTATTGAATAAATGACAGTTTGTAACCCGATTAGACACTTTCTACGTTTCCTTGAACTAGAAACCTGATCATATAAATCTGGTTGAACTTTAGCATTATCATAAAAGAGTACCTATTTAATCAAATGTTCAGTTTTATGTACGACAAAACATCTGTTTTTTTAAAAAAAAAGGAGGTCAGGACTAAAGCAAATTAAAACATTAAAAGTATTTTCAGGTGATCATGCTTAATCAACATCCACTCTGGACAGGCTGGCAACTGTAATGTCACTTACGAATGATTTCTAAATAATTTGGAAGGTAATCAATATTTTGCAAAAACATTCTATGCTTGTTAACACCTAAATTCTCCAGACAATTAATACAACTTTTATTTTTGTCACAACTTTCACACCTGCTGATTATCAGTTTATCACACAGCTGACTTGCTGCACCTGGTTGTAATTTCCAATCATTAGGTAAGAGTAAACCACACAATAGACCTGCAACTACAACACAGGCCTTAAACTCAAGTCAAAAAGAGCCACACACTGACGTGGCACACCCCATCAAGAAGGCATCACTCAATTGGCTTTTGCCAGTTCTTATTTCCTAAACAGACATGTACACATAACTGGTCTGCAAAACTACTTATCAAGCCTGCAAAAAACTCTGAATATCATTTACACATTTCATTACTGCTTGCATGAGAATGGCAATAATGCCAAATGCAAAGAACTGGAATACAAACTAGAGAATACAGTGGTTGTAACTAGATAACTTTTTTTTAAAACAAAAGAAATACAAGGTACTGTTACTCATTTTTAAATCCTCATTAGGGATGACTTGGCCTGATAAAAACCAGACCCTTGTCCTTCACTTTGCTTCGTACGAGGGTCTGGACTCTCGGCTATAGAGAAGCGATTCTTGCTGGAGGCGTGGCCTCTGCTGAAGTTTAAAATGATTGGATCAGTTGGCTGCGGCATATGCGTGCCATCTTCACTGTGAAGGAGGCCAAGCTAAAAAGCTAACCAGAAATCACGTGGGCTCTAAACAACGCTACTGAGTGGAGAGAAGTACAGAGCCGAACGAGACGACTGTAAATGATGCCGCTTTGTCAGACAAATTTAATTTAATTTGGAAGCCTTATCAACACAGACTGGCTTCGTTCACTTCCTCCACTGCCGTATGCTAAACTAACTAGCAGACACTGCGCAGAAAATCAACATCGCTCAAAACTCCGCCTTCTGTTTGCTGATTGGCCCGGACAAAAATTCCCCTGAAGAAATCCTAGTCAATGGGAGAAATCCCAGACGGAGCAGTGAAGGGAAACTAAAACTGAGCGGAACTGCGTAGGAAGGCAAAGGCTAGGGATGACTGAATACATTAAAATTGTATATTTTGTTGCAGTAAAACTATTTCGAAAGGGAGAAAATAGACTTTGTGTTTTGTTATCGAAAATTGGTTTGGTATGTTTTAGACATGGGACGGTATGAAATTATGACGGTATGATAAACTTGGGCCAAAATATCACGGTTTCACTGTATTATGATTACAGCTCTAAAGATTTTGTTTTGAAATTTGTATTTAAAAACAAAAAAGAAATTAACTTTTCTATTATCATATTCAACTTTATCTTTGGAAGCTGTTTTTAGATCTCAGAGGTGTTATGCTGAAATTTTATTTAGCTGTGTGCATCTGTACTTGTGTGATTTTTAGCACCTAATGTAATCAGGTTATCCTGATAAAGTTTACACTAGTAAGATAACTGCTTTTCTATTGCTTTATTATTTAAGACAAATCAGTGTATGCTGCACAAGTCTTTTTATTGAAGTAATGCATCAAGTTTTTATCATGTTATAAATGACAAATGGTTTTTTGACAAAGATTATATAAAAATATGCACAGAAACAAGAAATCACAACTATGAATGCATGTTTATGAAACGCACGTTCAGCTAACGAGCTGCTCGGCTAAAGGAGGCATTCAGTTTTATCGCCTTTCACTTAAAAACTTATCAAATACACAATCCAACAACTCAAACAGTTTTGCAGACAAGCTGTGACCGGTGCATTAAGCCACAGCAACACAGTGATGTTTCACAATCTGATGCTAAAGTTAACTCGTTCAAAGATAACATAACTTTACCTGGAGCTGAGATCATGTGTTGCCTCCATGGTCCACATTGCTGTCGTCTTTACGGCATCTTAAGTATTTTCATATAGCTGGATTTATTATTTTAGACAGCAATTCAAGCAACTTTTCCTATCACAAACACCCAACAGCTGAGTATAAACCCAGACAACTGTGGGTTTTAGATATGAGTAGGCGGACATTTGTGAGAAAAGAAAGGTTGGGGGGACGCTGATCGATTCACGTAGTTTGAACTTTTATTCCGCAAGAGCATGCATGTGAAACAGACCAACAAAGTCACATTAAACAAAGTAAAGTCATTCGAATAACACTATCCAGTGGAGGTGATCCAAAGATTGTGAGAAAAGTGGATAAAAACTTTATTCAACTTTGGATTGACAGTCAAATAACGGATGTGTTTTCCGCACTGAAGGCTCTAACTGGTGAAATACTGTAGCAGAAACACTTCATTAGGTCTCCATGTAACTGGAGGACTCTCTGGCACTAACGCTCAGTCCTGGTGTGTGTGCGGTTAACACCTCTACCTCATCTCTCTATAATCAGGGATTACCTAATTTAACACCGGTTCCAGATGAACACTAATTCCTAACTCAGTTTGATACCAGGCCTTGATAACTTGTAAGAAATTGTTCACTGCCGATACTCTGTCAGCAACTGTTTCTTCAAAGTTAATTTATTTTTGCCTTTTTTTGTTGAAAAAGGAGAATATTAATCAAAATATTTTCTAAGCACATTCACTACATTTTGTGAGCTGAGAAAATGAAGTGGATTTGATTTTATAAAAAGAAGGGGGGGGGGGGAATCAAAAATATTTACACAATGGATTAAGAAATGAGAGCAGAAGATGTTCTACATTACCTGTCATGTAATCCAATGGGCATCGTCTCCCCTCTGTGTGCAGGGTGCTCCATACCCTCACCAAAACGATACCTAAAAAGACGTATTTAATGTCACAAATATCTAATATCGTCAATGTGTGTAAAGATTTGTAAATTCTGAAACGATGTTTAAACTTTTTTAGCTTTAAAATTTAAAATAGCCAACATAAAAACCTGCAAACTTTTGCTTTGCACAAAACCAGCCTAATTTAAGTTCAAACACGGTCAATGTGTTACTAATCACAAGCTTTGCACTTTCAGTCTCATCTAAAAGTACTGTGCCCAATCCTGCATGTTTAAAAGGGTTCTCTACTCCAGCACACCTGAATCAAATTAACAGGTGTTAAACAGGCAGAACCTGGAGGTAATTTAACCACTGAATCAGGTGCGTTGGAGCAGGGAAACGAGTAAAACCTACAGGATAACGGCCCTCAAGAGCCAGGATTGGACACCCCTGCTTTAGTGCTTTGCATCCAAAAAGACGTTTCCTTAGAATCCATTAAAAGCAATCCTAATCACTGGTTCTTCAAACCTTCTGAAAATGTTCCACTCATTTTCTGTGCAGTTATTGTACTTGACCAACCAACCAACCAACCAATCAATAAATAAATAAATAAATACTGGAATAGTTGAGGACAAAAAAAGGAGTACAACGTACACTTGATAGTGTCTGAAATGCATACCTTCACAAAACATATCACAGTCCTGACAAAGGTCACAAGGGGTGAACCAAACTTCAGAGGATCATCGCTTTGTGTCAAGTTTACAACAAACAGATGTTTGACAAACACCTTGCTTATGATTGTTGCTATTCTTTATAAATTTAACCAAAAAGATTCTCTTTTTGATGTGCTGATGGTAAAGGTAAATTATTTATAGATCAAAGTTACATGGCTTCATTTTCTCACCAGAAAAGGGTCAGATAATTCCAATTTTATTTATCTGTTAAGGGACGATCCACAAGAAACATCAGACAATGTAAACGTGTCACAGTTAGCTGAAATAAACTAATTTTCATCTGTAGTCCCTTTTGGCAGTTCTTGAAGACAGCCTAAGAAAACAACTACATTAAAATCACATACACCTCTGTCAAATATACAATAAAATTACAGAAGACAATACATTCATAAAACAAAAACATTTCTGATCCTATGGGTTATAATAGAGACTTGATTTAATACAGTTCTTTAGTTGAAGACCTGAAAACAGGTGAAAAAGCAACTGCATTTCAAAGAAGGACCAAACAAACAAATAAAATAAAAATGGCTTCTTGGAAACAAAATGTAAAAATTGAGGGATGACTCAAGACTTCTGCACAATGTTCACAACAAAAAGGGTGTAAATAGTTGATCAGTAAAAAAAACAACTCAGACTTATGAACGTGTCATTTTGTGTGTACGCATACATTTTGCAACATAAAGTATGGCTTTACTGTTGTCGTGAATTATTTAATTATTACTTTAGTAAACAAACAGGGGTGGAAATGTACAGTTGTCTCTCAGGAACAAGAGTCCTTTTAAAAACTTAGACGCCTGACGGCGTTTTAAGCAAACACAAACTCGCTCTTCAGCTTTTACCTGCTAACCTGGCGTTAAGGCTCAACTTCGGTCCAAAATAAAACACCCCGAATTGTTCTGTTCCGACACAGTCCACTGTCAAACCGAAGCATTGCTGAATTTCTGGCCATATTGACTCTACAACGTCGGTATATGTTCTCCAGTGGGAATCAGGCTGCAGCTAACTAGCTTAGCTAACTCTAATGTTAAATAGCGTCAAAAAGCTATCTTAAATATAGCTCGTTACACACAGCTACAACTCGTTAGCTACGTGCAGTAAATTTTAAGTAACATAAGAAAAACCCGGCGCCTAAACACGAGTTGTCTGGCTTAGTTGTTACTTGGTTGATTGATTGATTTGCAACCAACAACAGATGGCTGTGGTGGTTACATTCGTAAATGGTAAGCTCATCAAGCTACACAGATTATAACAAGCCCTGTACAAACCTTTGACATACTCTGCAAACTTTTAAATAACACAGTCACTCCGTACCTTTCTAAGCGAGATGTTACTGGCGTCCTTGTTTTTCTTTCCAAGCCCAAATCCACTTACACCACTGAAAACGCCTTCCCTGTCTCATTTTATCCAATCCCGTTTGCGTTTACTGGAAAACCGGGAATATCGAAACTTCCGATTGGTGGAAAAGTATGGCAATCTTCTATTATTGGCTGAAAACTCCCGTTACTAAATAAAGTGGGTTTTAAGAAGAGTCCTCATGTGAGGGAGGCTGTACAGTCTGTTCTCACCAAATATTTGTTTATAGATTGAATAATATTTAAATGAAGTTAAACAAAACTGAAAGTAAGAAAGAATTAAATATATTTATACGTCTGTGAAAGAGATGTGAAAAGAATAACTTCTTTTATTTTTGCACAACAGTGAACACAAATAGTTGCATATACAAAACAATAGTTTCTACTTATGTGAAGCAGAAGTGAAGTATGCTATACTATGAGAAAATTAATGAAATGCTAAAATATAAATACCATTATTAAAAACACTGACATTGCAACAAAAAGTGATTTTCTTTAAAATTATTGTGCAGATTATGTTGATAATTATCCTAATTGGTTTACGAATCAGAAGGCTCCTAAAAACTAGTCGATGAACTCCAAAAAATGTGCTTATTTCCCCCTTGTTGACCACATGCTTTTTCTTCCACAAGTGTCCTTTTTTATTTAAGCAAAAGACAATGTAAAAAAAAAACTTGAAGCATCGTAAAATCATCTATGTGAGACTTGTGCCAGAAAACCAGTTTCACTAAAAAGCTGTTTTTTTTTCCCCCTAGACAGGACTAATCAACTAGCGGCCCGCGGACCACATCCAGCCCGCCAGTGACCAAAGTTCGGCCTGCCAATTGGTTCATTCATCTCTTGAGACCAAACCCCTGTTTTTTTTACTTTAATTACTCTAAGTTATTTTAGTTAAACATAGAAATGTTTGGTATCTACAGAAATGTCAGAATCTTGTCCAGAAGCTGGTAAAAGCTATTTCTGTGCACACTCAAGACAGAAGACTAGCAGTTGAAGATAAGAATATGAAAGTGAAAAAAATTGATTAAAAAGGTTGGCAAGTCAGAGATGTCAAAATATTATTTGTGGTAAATAAGAGGCAGAATGTGTTATTGTTGTTTTTGTTGTTTTATTATCCCTTCTTTTATTACATAGGTTCTGTATGTTGTATTCATGGTTAAATGCAACAAAATAAACTATTTCAAAGGTAACAGATCTTTGTAATACTTGATTTATTTACATAATGACTTTAATTGCAGGGATGTTCGGCCCCTCTGCCGTAGGTCTGCATTAACTGTGGCCCCTGGAGCAATTTAGTTGAAAAGCCCTGTTCTAAGGTAAAGTAAGTTCTGGTTGTGCGTGAACTCATAATCATACAATATTAACACTATAATAAGATTAAAGAAGAATATTTACATGTCTCACAGATGTGTGTCTTCGTGTGACTTTAATTTTCCCCTAAAATCAGAGTTGTCTGTAGGATTTTGTTTACTAATTTCCTCATCATTTTCCCAACACCTGCTGTGTATTATAAAGTAGTTCACGATCACTTTTGATGAAATATGAAGCACGCTAATGAGATGGTGTTTTTGAATTCTACAACAAAATTTACATTTTGTCAAACAATCTAACCTCTTTACATTTAGTGTTATGCTGGCATTTGGTTAGGTCTAACACTCAAAAAACTTAGCTCAACATCTTTATCTTTTTTCAAGTCATCTTTTATTGCAGTTTCATTATAAATCCAGTAGGGGGCAGTGATGCGTCAACGCCATAGTCAACTGTCACAACAGAGCCGTAGAAAAAGTCCCGTCTTCTGACCCACCCTTTACAGCGGACTCCTCCGTATTTTTTTCCTGTTACTGGTTTGTTTATGACGCGGCTCATTGACTCCGTTAGCTTTACTGCTTTTCAGGAGGTTACTGTTTTTAAAGGACACTTTTTGCTTCTAATTTTATGTTCGATATTGTGCTGTGAACCAGACCGATTTACCAGAGGTGGAAGATAGTTAGCATTAAGAACCGCAGGTTATTTGTTAGCCAAGGATAGGCTAGCATATTGCAACGCAATGACGTGACTCTAGACAAGAAAGTCGTTGTTTCACGACTCCTGGCCTCAGATTACACGGTTAATTTTGATAAGACAACGCAAAGCTAGGCCAGTGCATATGCAAGACACGTAAGAAAACAGCTAGTTAGGCTTTGACACAGCTGTCTAACTTGGACTAGCTGCTGAGCTAAACTGTTAGCATGGCTTCAGATACAAGTGACACCGAGGAATTCTATGATGCTCCAGAGGACATTAGCTTCTCTCCTTCTCCAAAAGTGTAAGTACTTACTTCTTAATAACTAAACACTTTTGTGCATGTTTTTGTTTTCATTTAGTCACATGCATTTATTAATAACTGGTAATATTTTCTTAGGGGGGCCGCCTCTCTTTTATTAGGGCAAATGCCACAAAATATGATCCTAGGATATTGATCGTGCACATAGTTTGACCTGTATTGCATCATATTTGCCAAACAGTCTGACTGAGCCAAAGGCCATGTTGTTTAGAAAGTTTCTTAACACTTTAAATTAGTTTTGTTTGTTTTATACGTGTAAGCAAACTAAAATAGTTTAAATGCTCAAGTGAAAAAAAGTGTTGCTTTTTTAAATGAAATTAAAATCAGCTCACATACTGTTGTTTAGTAAGTTTCACTAAATCTATAACTATTTCTGTTTTTAGGCCGCCTGTGAAGTTTGTCTGTCCTTCACCTCAGGTTTGTTTTTGTACACTCAAGCACAGTTGATAAAAGTTGACATACCTTTGTGGTTTTAAATAACTTGGGCTTTAAATTTAAGTAAATACAACCTCAAATAAACAACGCTACACACACATATTACTTGGTTTTATTAATCAGTGAGCCAAACTAAGCCAAAACTGTGGAAACGGTCTCACTGCTTTCACATTGAGAGGAAATGCAGCTGATCACATGCTTTTTATAACCTGGTAGTCGACAAGAGTGAGCATCTCTTTAAAAGCATTAACTCTGGCAGTTTGCTGCTCTGGAGCTATTAAATGTGTGTTAAAACACCGTTTCAAGGACAAAAGACTTCAAGAACAATCCTAGAGAATCAAGTTTTGCCCCACCTTACATCTGGAAAGAACCAGACCCTTTCCGGTGGATAAAACACCCAGACATGTTTCTTAATTTCCCCAGGAGAGGACATCTCAGCAAGTTTATTTTGAGGTCAGACTGTTTAGAAAAGTACCCACAAACAAAACCGCAAAACACATTTCAAACTCTGCTGGGTGCTGTAGGGACTTTAGGTCTTAAATTTCAAGACAAGAAAAAAACTAAACAAGTTTGGCTTGTTTGAAAAGGTTTCTAGATGAAAGCCTCTCCTCTGTCTAAGAACAGGGTGACACGATTTAGATTTGCAATGCTGCATTGAAACAAACCACACGATTTCTACAACAGTGACCTTTAACAGCTTAAATCTAAATGATGCCGTTTGACCATTATGCACATGTTAGTCACCTGTTCATCCTCATGGGTTATGTAACAAAAGGACAATACAAAAAGGAAGAATCACTGTGTTGCTGTGGTTCAAAGTCTAGACGTCAGTCTTTTTTTGGCAGGACGTTAGGGAAACTGTGTAACAATATAATAAGTGTTCTGGAAGGAAGCATCGGTGAACTGAAGCAAAGCTGACTGATAATGTCATACTTCAAGTTATTACATGTTATAGTGGTTCTGCAAGCTATTTAATCACAGTGTACTTAGTCTTTACCTCTTTGTTCCAACATGTCAGAATGTTTGATCGGATAAATAATATGCATTTCTGTACGTCTAAGATGGTTGTTTATTTAGTCCTGAGACTTGATAAGAGTAAGACATTTAAAACTACAGTATATAATTTACTCTGGGTGCACATAACATAGTGTATGTTGTTTTGACTGATGGGATAATTATTCATTTGTTTGTCATACAATTTACTTTTGTTTAAACAGTTATCACAAAGTTCAGATGCTGTGCAGGATGTGAGCTGTGCTGCTCTCGAGACTCAGCAGGACGATCCTCTGCAGGTACGGTTTTGTAACGGGAGAAAAAAAAACGAGCTGAGCTGGACAAGTGAACGAGTACAGAAATGTAAATAAACTCTTATTTTCTGTTCATAGATCATTGATAGCATCATCGAGGAGAGTCAGAAGGGAAGCGTTGAGGATGTTGGTGATGTGGTTCAGTTGTTGGATGAGCTAAATGTTGAGGAAAGAGCCGAGTCAAAGGAAGAGCAGATCGTCGCGGGAGTTCCTGAGGAGCAGCCACCGGGAGCTGAGGGATGTGAACTTGTCAAGGGGCAGGAAGAGGACAGGAGCGTAGCAACGAACCAAGACTGCTCTTCGCCTGATCCTGAACCCTCGGAGCTTCCAGGACCATCATCATCATCAGCTGTGTCACAGGAACACGTGCAGCCTCCAGATATCACCAGCTCTATAGGACAGAGGCAGCAAGGCGTCACTGTGGTGGTTACAGAAGACGAAAAGGAACAGAGACCTGCAGACCTCTTAGACCAGGTTCCCTTAGCAGACAGACTGGCTGATACAGACTCCCAGGGGCCCATGAAGCCCCCGCGACAATTTACAGTAGAACCAGATATTGTAGCCAGTACAAAGAAGCCTCCTCCCTCTCGCCCACCCCCTCCTGCTGGAGGTCCTCCACCGAGACCACCTCCACCAGCTAGGAACACCTTTCCTTCCAAGAAGTCTCAGGAAACCCTGAGGCCAAGTGGACTAGAAGGTGAGAAGACATTTTATAAATAAAAAAAGTGAAAATTTAATTTGGAATATTAAGGGAAAAAAAAAACATTTGCTCAGTTTTCAGCATGTCTTGTTGTCTTGTAGTGAGTTCAGTCAGCTGTGATTCTCTGGATCCCTCGGGCCTGGTGTCGCCGTGCAGCACTGTGAGGAGTTTAACCAAAGACCTTCAGCATTCCTTGGATCTGGCCAGCGCCACCAGTGGGGACAAGGTGGTGACAGCGCAGGTCAGTGGAGCTGTGGATCTGACTCTTTTTAAGGAACTCAGAGTTGTTCAGTAATGAGCAACGACACGGCGGTGTGCTTATTACACTTTTGCTTTCTGTTTTCTTTTTTAATCTTTTCACGATTTTGTAGGAAAATGAGGATGAACAGGCTTCATCTCAGAGTGGAGGACAAACTGCCGGCCCTCAGCGTCCACGTTCCAACTCTGGTAGAGAGCTAACAGACGAAGTAAGAGCTTGTTTGTGTTTTCTCCTTTTTTTTAGATTTTACCCTTAGTGAACAGAAAACAAAAACAATTCGATTTGTGCAAAAAAAAAAATCTGAATTAACCATTAAAACCTGCTGTGTGAACATAGCCTTAGTTGATGTGGGACAAGCTGCAGTTGTTTCAAATCAACAATGAATGAACAGTTTTTTAGCTACTTGATCTGTTTAGGTAATTGTTTCAGGGTTCCTGCAGATCCTTTAAAAAGCATTAAAAGGCATTGAATTCATCAATCCAAAAATAAGGCCTTAATTAGCCTTAAAATGTCTTAAATCAGTCTTTAGAAGTGTTAAAATTGTGATCACTTAATAGGATTATTGTAATTCATCTCAAATTTTAAAATAATTGGTAACATTTAGTTTTTAAAAACAATTCACTGTTTTATTTATTTAAAGTTAACAAAATTGAGCTTTAATAAAGTAAACATTTGGGTAAAATTGTTGCTAAGTTTTATTTTATTTTTGTTTTGTCCTGACGCAGCTCATCTCATCTTATTCTTTTCTTTTTCGTATTATTTTTTGTGAAGGTGGTCTTAAAATAAGTTTCAAGTGGCATTAAATAGGTCTTAAAAGTCTTAAAATTAACTTGTTTTAAGCTGTAGAACCCTGTGTTTGGTAAAAATCACCTTTTTCCTACAGCGTGTCCAACATTTTGCTCATATTTCATAAGTTCTTTCCAAATCTGTCTGCACTGATAAGAAACAGAGATGGTTTTGTAACTTTGCACCAGCTGGGTCTTTTTTTTTTTTTCACACGTCTGAGATGCTAAGTAGCTTGAAAAAACTTTTAGATAAATTACTCTGAATTCGGTTCCCATTTACACACTTAAGAGCTGAATACAAGTACATTAGCATCTCTCTCAGCTGTTCTTACACACCCAAACAGCTGACATCACATTTCCCACAATGACACTTTTTTAGGGCAGACACGGTTCCAAAATACTACGTTTCTGTTTTAACATAAATCACATGAACGAGCTTTGATTTTGGAAAGATTTTCAACAGATTGCAACATTTTTTGTTTTGTTTTTCACTTGACAGCACTCACTGTTTCTATCGTGCGTGTTAATTTTCTCCTCCTGCCGTGCTACAGAATCATATTTGCTTGTGATTTTTCAAACAGGAAATACTGGCCAGTGTGATGATTAAGAATTTAGACACAGGCGAAGAGATTCCTTTGATTCAGGCAGAGGAGAAACTTCCTGCCGGGATCAACCCGCTCACTCTGCACATTATGAGGAGGACCAAGGAATACATTACGTAAGCTAGATAATAATAATAAAAGTGTAAAGACTTTTAATGCCAGTGTGGCTGTGGGCTTTGTAGACATAAAAAGCGTAAAAAGAAAAAAAGTACATCTCATTAAGGATGTATTTATGGGTTTTTTTTGTTCTCAGGAATGATGCAGCACAGTCCGATGACGATGACAAGCCTCAGGCTCCCCTCTCTGACACAGACGGTGGAAAACTGAAGCAGAAAACGTAATGCTGCTCAAATATGCTTCTTCTCTCCACACGATCTCATTTAGAACCCGAGAATTTGTTCTCTTTTCTGTTCCCACGCAGAACCCAATTGAAAAAATTCCTGGGCAAGTCTGTGAAGAAGGCCAAGCATCTCGCTGAGGAGTACGGCGAGAAGGCGGTCAATAAAGTGAAAAGTGTGCGGGACGAAGTTAAGAGTACGTCTTTCTATTTATTTATTGATATAGTTTGTTTTACTGACAGTTCAGGTTATTTTAATTTTTTTGTAGGTATTTATAAAATGTTTACACTAGTAAACATTGTCTTTGCTCTCAGTGTTCCACACAGATCAGGACGATCCTTCATCAAGTGATGACGAGGGGATGCCTTACACCAGACCTGTCAAGTTTAAGGCGGCTCACAGCTTCAAAGGTCCTTTTGACTTCGATCAGATCAAGGTTGTGCAGGACCTGAGTGGAGAACACATGGTAGGACAGCTGGAATCTTTTAATAATAATTATATTATTGAGTATTTCAAATTCTTCATAGTTTTTCTCTTTTTTTTCCCAGGGGGCTGTTTGGACAATGAAGTTCTCTCACTGTGGGAGGCTGCTGGCAACAGCAGGCCAAGATAACATTGTTCGCATCTGGGTCCTGAAGACAGCCTTTGATTACTTCAATAATATGAGAATAAAGTACAACACTGAAGGTACGCACATCTGGAACTCAGATTTTGAGTCTCTGCAACACAATACTTGTCAGTGGAGGAGCATTCCTTGTATTTTTCATCTCATCCAGGTCGAGTTTCACCGTCTCCTTCTCAGGAAAGTTTGTGTTCCTCTAAATCTGATACTGATCCTGGGGTGAGTCGAAACCACCTTATGTTATTTTGCATTAACAATTCTGATAGACACTGCTTTTAGTTGTTATTATTGCTGGATTTTAAACCTCACTGCCTTTTGTCAATTTCATTTTCTTAATATTTTTGCTGTTATATTTTAGACGAGTTGTATTCTGGAGGACCCAGACACCGAAGACAGAAATGTTCCTTTCCGCCAAGTTCCCTTCTGCAAGTACAAGGGCCACACAGCTGATCTGTTGGACTTGTCCTGGTCCAAGGTGATTATTTTCAGTGGTGGACACAGCTAACCCAGTTAGCTTCACTAACCAATAATCCACTAAACAAGAATCGTAGCTCTGCTAATGCTAAACTGCTAAGATGGTTAGCAGGACTTATGTAAACCTGTAAGTATATTGGTTTAATTTGAARGTGGGTGGAATCATTTGTGGCAAATTTGCCAAACCTCCAAATAAATGTTGGAGGTTTAGATTGGTTTGAATCATACTATAAATAAAAAAAAATATAGTATGATTCAATATTTTATGGGATGGGTGGCAACCCTAGGATTAGCAGAACTTTGCCTACTGCCTATTAGTGCATTACTCTCTTCATCACACATTCCAGATTTATGTTTCATTTCTCTTAACTTTTTTTTTTTGTCGTCTCTGCAGAACTTCTTCTTGCTCTCTTCCTCTATGGACAAAACGGTCCGGTTATGGCACATATCCAGGAGAGAGTGTCTCTGCTGCTTTCAGCACATTGATTTTGTCACAGCCATTGCTTTCCATCCCAGAGTAAGTCGGCTCTCCTTGGTGTTTGTCTCGCCACAAAACTTACATCTATTGTTACTTCTCTGTCTAGTTCCACATTAAAACCATCCATTTGTTTTTATCCTAGGATGATAGATACTTTTTAAGCGGTTCTCTGGACGGAAAGCTACGACTTTGGAACATTCCAGACAAGAAGGTGGCTCTGTGGAACGAGGTGGACGGTCAGACCCGACTCATCACTGCAGCCAACTTCTGCCAAAATGGGAAATACGCTGTCATCGGCACTTATGATGGTCGTTGCATCTTTTATGACACTGAGGTATTTTGTTGCTTGATGTTATTCTCCTAATAGATCACTTATTGCTTCAGTCAAAGCCATTCCTAAATATTTTCCCCCCTCATTCATTAGCGTCTGAAATACCATACTCAAATCCACGTGAGGTCCACCAGAGGTAGGAATAAAGTGGGACGCAAAATTACTGGAATAGAACCTCTGCCTGGTGAAAATAAGGTCAGAACATCCCCGTTACAGATTGTTTCATGTATTTATACTGAGGCTTAAACATCAAAACTCACCTCTCAGATTTTGGTGACCTCGAACGATTCTCGCATTCGCCTTTATGACCTGAGGGACTTATCTCTGTCCATGAAGTACAAAGGTTACGTCAACAGCAGCAGCCAGATTAAAGCAAGCTTCAGGTGAGGAAGACTTCCCAGCACAGTGAACCTTTTTTTAGTTTCTCGATCAGAAACTAATTTGTCTTCTTACAGCCATGACTACTCCTTCATCGTCAGCGGCTCGGAGGATAAATACGTTTACATCTGGAGCACTTACCACGATCTTAGCAAATTTACATCTGTAAGACGAGACCGCAATGACTTCTGGGAGGGAATCAAAGGTATCTGGTTGATAAACAGCAGCTGTTCCTTGGGGTTGAACTACTAGTTACCAAACCTTTCATCGTTGTCTTCCAGCGCACAACGCAGTGGTCACCTCAGCCATCTTTGCGCCTCATCCAGGCCTTATTGTTCCACTAGAAACCGGAACGGAGAAACCAGAAGCGGATCGCAAGAGTCTGGATTCCACAGACTCAGAAACAATACCGTCAGGTGTGCAAGCTTTCCTCTGCGCCTTCGATTTTTATAAATCGAATAACATAAATGTTCACTTTGTTTTGTTTTTTGTTTATTTTTTGTTGGCAGGAGCACTAAAAACTGACCACACAGAGGTTCTTCTCTCTGCTGACTTCACTGGAGCCATTAAAGTTTTCATCAACGTCAAAAAGTACTGAGCAGTTCAGGGGTTTCATTTTTCACATGCCTGATGCAGATTAGTCCTAAAAGTGGGGGACACAGCCTCTCAGGGGTCTAAGATCTTCTTACTACATAATGGTTAAAACTCAAGACAAAAAAAAAAATACCTAAGGGAAAACAGGAGGAATAGACTACAAAACGAGTAGGGTGAAGATCCCTTGACATATGTCTATTTTTTATCTTTCATAACAGGCGAATGTGAAAGGTTTTGCAATTCTAGATGTTAAATAAGGGGAGTGGAGCAGAGCTAATTTTGTTGTGTAAATTTAAAGCTGTAACTTTTTAAACAGTAGCTAAAATGCCTTTTTTGCTACTGGATGAGCACCTTCCTGATTTCTTTGTCCCTCAATTTTCACAAAAATGTTCTTGTTTTTATGGTTTGTGAGATTGTCCTGATGTCAAGTGGAACCACATTTTTTTCCTCTAACATATCCAACATTTCTGTACATCTGCCAAACAGGTGGTCTTTATGCAGTCATTACTAACGACTAGAACTGGGCATCTCCGTTTGTTTTCTCCGCAAAACCGTAAAAAACATGTTTCTGTTCAATAAATGTTTCTTTTGAACTAAAGCACATTTCACGATAGGACTGTAAATTTATGGCGTAATATTGCAAACGTGCTTTTGTAAACAAATGTACTTTCCTCAATAAAATCTTCACAAATAAAACGTTGGTTGAGCTAATTTTTTTATGCGTCGTCTTTCACACAAAATCATCACCAACAATTTATTTAGTGTTTGTTTGCAGCAACATGTTTTAAAAAAAAAAAAAAAAAAAACTAACAATTTATATACATATACACAGGTAGTTACAGTGTTCAAACTTCACAAAGGATAGTGCTGAATGTTGCATGGACAGAGACCAAGACAACAAACATGTTGGTCTACAGAAGACTGCAGAGGTCCAACATCCAGACTCGAGTCAGTGTTTGCTCCTTTTAGCCTTCTTGTGTGAGCGATGAGGTGACCGTGATCTGGATTTGTCAGCCTTCTGGTTTGGAGATGGTGATCTGGAGCGTTTAGACTTTTTAGGAGACTTTATTCTGTTAAATTGAGCAAAACAAACTGATTTTAAAAACTATGTACAAATTGAAAACCAATCATGAAAGTCTTTCTGTACAGCTTGCCTTGATGGAGAGATGCTTCTTGACTTTTGAAGCCGGTCTGCAGGATCGCTGCTCCATCTTCTGTCGCTGTCATCCTTTTTTTTGCTCTTATCTTTCTTCCGCCTGTCATCTTTCTGCCTGTCTTTGGACTTTGATCTCTCGTTCTTTTCTTCATCTTTTACAAACTCCTACAACAGATTATAGAAACACATTTGCCTAAAGTCATATGGATGCTTCTGTGTTAAAATTAGATGCAAATTACAAATGTAACATACATTTCTTATTCAAGCCAATCTCCATAAAATAATCTCATTTATGAATAAATGTATAATCTATGGAATAAAATGAATCCAAAGAACGTGAAGTACTTATTATTTTTGACTCATTCTGTGAGACTATAAAAGTTTCTGAAGTGAAAAATCCTGTTTATTAAAACATCTCTGAAAGCTAACCAGATCTTTTCACACTTCGGCTCTCAAGCCCTGCCTGGCACTTTTTATTTGTAAGAGGTGGAATAACGTTTGACTTGATCCACGGCTGATACGCCTCTGATGCTGCAACGTAAACGCTGAGTTAACGAGTCTGAAGCTGAGGGGGCAGCGTTTGCAGCCGACCGCTCAACCAAAAGATGCTGTCGCCCAGCTGGTGATGCCAACTTGTGTGTAAACATGCCGACGCAGTGTCAGATGCCTTGGGTCGTCTATTTTTCTTTTTTAAACCAAAAGAATAAGTGGTAGCATTAAAAATGTCTTATATTTTATTCATTTGGAAAGATGCATAAAAAAATGTAATGGCTATAATACATTAAACCTTATTGGTTTGACAGGTTACAGTCATTGGGGAAAAACGGGATGCAGCTGCACCTTCCGTCCTGTAGATGGCACCATTCTGATTAAAATTTAGGGTTTCTAATTTGTGTGGCTCTGAATCAGTATCTCTGACTTTTCAAACAGCTATTTATGGTTTCTGACCAAAACAACTTGTTTCTAATTAAAGCATTTTTGTCCCGTGCAGAAAAAACACTACAATGCATGTATTTATAAAATAGAAAAAGATCCAATAAAATCAAAGCGACAATAACAACCTCTTCACCTTCTGTAGCAGTTTGTGTCTGTAGTGCTCCACTTGCTGCGGTATGCCCATCCCAGACTTTAGCTGCCTTTTGCCAGATTCCAGCTCATCTTGGTACTTCATAACCTTTACCTGAGTCAGAGACGTTCAATCAGTTGCAGCCTTTTTTAACAAACATCTTTACATTCAATGTATTGTGATAAATTAGTAGAATTGAAAAACAAAAAATGACCCACAGCGGTTTTAATCCTGTTAAATCAAATCCCTTACCTCCAATTCTCTCAGCTTCTTCCTTTTACTTTCAGTCATTTGGAAARTTTTAAGTGAGCTCTGGAAAACTGCACTGTCATAGTTTGGTGCGTTTGAGGAGTCAGCACTGCTGTCACTCTCTGAGCCATCGTCTTCATCCTGAAAGTTGCAACTGTCGCCAAAAAAAGAGGAACGTTATCAAAAAAGCCAAGAGATAGAAGCTGCCACGTTAAACGACTGCACCCTTTTCTTCAAAGCCAATCAGTTAGGCCTTACCTAACATTCACTTTATCTTCATCATCTTGATTGCCCACCGTGTCCCACTTAGACTCAGTTTTGGCTGAGAGACAAAGAACAATAATGAGGAAAACCTGGAAGGATCAGACTGATGGCAAATGACTTTTCGACACGTCTTACCTTGAGAAAAAGTCCCAGCGTCACTGGTTTTCTCCCATTTAGACAAAGGCACTACAGAGGGAGGAAGACTGCTCTCTTCCACTGCAGAAACAGACAGACTTGGGTTAGCACCAAGGACTGTATTCCAGAGGTGCATGCACTTACAAACCAATGTGTAACATTTGTATTACAGTATGTAATGGACTCACAGGGTACCCCATCTATGTCATCAACAGGAGCGCCATCCAGGGGGTCCCAACCCATGGGGCAGCCATCGATGTCATCCACAGGAGATGAGTCTAAAGGTAACCCATCTATCGGTGCACCATCGAGCTCACAGGATGCTTCCTACAGGAACAAACGCACATATGTTCAATTGTTTCGTCCGGCTGTGTTGTATCAGCACCCCCAGCTGTTAAAACGGGACCATAAAGCGTCAGTAACGTCTGTAGTGAGGAGATAAAGCTCACCTCTGTCGTCTTGGTCGCCTTGTCAGCTTTGGCGAAGCCCAGGAAGATGTTTTGAAGTCGGATTAGATAAAAGTCTGGATATATGGCCCAGTCTTCCCATGCACGAAAACAATTCATGACCTTTTGCTGTGAAGAAAGGATGTGGAAATGATTTTTTTTTCCCAATTTCTAGTGTCTTCTGCTGATTTTGGGTAAAAATGTGAAACAAATGAATTACCTTAAACTGTTCTGCCTGCAGCCTGGCTTGTATATTTTTGTGAGTTGCATTAAGATGCTCAAATATTTGTGGCAACTTTACTTCAAAACTGAAAAATAAAAAGTATATTTCAGCACTAAAATAAAAACTAAACAATCATGTGATTGTGAAAGTTTAAAAAAAGTCTCTCACAATTTACGGTAATATGATGCACCAGCTGCTTTGGCACTTGAATTGTACAAGATATCGGACACGAGGTACAATCTAGAAATCTGTCAAATCAATTAGAAAAATAAATTAGAAATAATCGGAGCACAAGTCTTCAACTTGGTGCACTTCACATTTTGACTAAATGTGTTACATATTGTGTGTTAGATACATTGAGACATGAACTAGCCTTCTTCTGAAGTGGCGTTTGAAGTGAAGAAAAAGAGTCAACGACGTGGGCCACCACTTCTTTTGCAGCATCTGCCCGGTCGAGACAGAACATCATGGCACCGGCAATACTGTCTTTGCTTGGAGTCAGATCTTCAAGAAGTGTCTCCAGTTTCTTTCTGTGACTGAGAGACGTTCATAAATATAAATATACACATATATACATAAACAACACCAGAGTGTGAAATAATAAGTTGACAAAACGATGGCTGTACAGTCTGAGCAGACTTACTCAGATCTGAGCTGCCCCTTCTTCACCTCCTCCTCTTCATAGACAGCCTGTTCCTCTACCTCTGACCGGCCAACATATTGGTTTAGAATGGGTGGTATCCACAGGGAGCCCCCTTTAAACATTCGAAAATACGTCGTCCTCCATTTAGTGGGGGTCTCTCCCTGTGGGACAAATGAAGACCAGGCTCATTAAAGTAGCTCCATGCATAAACAAGTTCTTTCTACTGCAACAAGACTTAAAACATCAAAGGTTTGTGGGCAGTGTACTGTACATTCAGGCAGTTTGCTTTTCTAAAATTAAAATTTGGATAACGAACCATTATCTGATTTCTAATTTTGTGCACTAAAGCAAAAACAGACAAAAATTAATAACTAGCGCTCACTTTTTATTTTTTCAGACAAGTGGCCCTTACCTGGAAGTTTTCTATGCCCTGCATATTCCACGTAGAGAGCCGTTTGTGTGCACACAAACACGTTTACAGCTACACAAATACCCATGTGTACGTATAGAAATGTATTTTGCATTATGTGAACAAAAACACTTCAGATCTGGTGATGAGGCCAGCATCAGGTAGCATGGAGATCAGATGGTTCAAACAGAACTTGGTTCCTGATTCGCCAAACTGACTATCAGAATGATTAGACACCGATCTCTCTCTGAATTGAATTTTATTTCAGTAAACTAAGTTTTTTTCTTTTTTTTATTAAACAAAAACACTGCCTGACTGTTTGTGTTGTATATTTTTTTACACAAGGCTTTACCTGAAGGATAGAAAACAATTTCCAGCGATAGTACACATGATCTTGTCTTTTACAGTCAAAAAGGAACCTGAGAAGATGAAAAGTAAATACATTAAGTATGTATATATTCTCTTATGCCCCTTTTCCACTAGTGCCACTTAGTGTAGTGGTGGTACGGTCAGTGTCGGAACGGGTCAGTTCAGGTGCTTTTCCATTGACGTTCCAGTCCGGTTCCAGTGGGTGTGTTTTGGGCGGTTGGTGGAGCTGGTTTTTGGCTTTTTCAAAAAAGTGTTAATGCGCAAAATGAGAGATGGAAACACATTTGCCGAATAAGTTCTGAATTTTTAAAAATTCGCTAAAAATTCAAATTAAAGTTGGATGGAAACACGACAAATGTCGCTGCTACAATTTAAAAAATGACACCTCGAGTTGTTCTAAAGGCTGCTCAGATGCAACCAGTGACGAACAGTGTTCTGACATCGCATTTTGGTGTCGACTGGGACCACTTGGAACCACAACGAAGTAGATACTAAAAAAAGGATTGGTTCCAAGAATCTGGCCTAATGGAAATGGCTTGGAACCGTACCGAACCGTACTGACACTACACTAAATGGGACTAGTGGAAAAGGAGCTAAGACCGTCCCTGGCCACAAAAAGGACACTTACTTGAAATCTGGATTGTTGATCTCTCTGTTCATTATTATGGCTTCAAACATGGGACCTTCACGCACCACAAACTCTACCATCCTGTGAATAAGGACTAACAGATTCCTGTGGGAGGACAGGGCTGTGTCAGACTGGGGTTTGTGTCCTAGCTTTCAGTGAACACTCATCTCTGTTTCAGTCACAGTAAAATACCAGTAATACCTCTTCTCTGAACTACTGACCCATATAGATTGTTGGCTGACCGTATCAAAGCACTCACAATTTCAAAAATGCTGATGACATTAAGATGCCAGAGAATGTAGMAGTCCAGCGGGGAATAATGCCAACTTTCTGCCCCTTACCTTAAGTATACAGTATGTTTGCATAGTTTTGGTATTCCATTAATCTAAATCAAGAGTATCCATTCAGGAACACAAGTGTAACAATTTCGCAATCTAAAGTGTAGAATTAAACATGTTGAAGAAAAATAAATGAGAGCTATATCAGGGTGTATTTTTAGATCACTGAAATGATTACAAATGATCTAATTTAGATTTTAATCAGCACTGGGGTGACATTTTGAAGGGAGGACACTTCCTGTGGATTGGAGCTCCACACTCCTCTGAGCCTTAATGAATCTGATGCAGACTGCTGATCTAACTCAAATCTATTCGCCTTCTAGCTGTATCGGTCTGCAGTGTCTCAGCCAGCCCATGGGAAACCCGGCACTCAAAAACATTTGTAGAGTAAAAAATTAGTAGCTTCGACAGTCATTCACAAACACTACACACTCCTGACAATAACACGCCTGGATATTTATGCAGGAAATAAAACTCAATACTGAAAAGTATTAAGAGTCTTCACTACCCTCCAATTTCTGCACATGCTGCAACCCCCAAAGATTTTGATTTGTCTACCTTTTGTATATGTCAAGGCCATTTGTAGCCCCTAAACCTGGTTCCTAAAGGCTATGTATGCATAGACACACGATCAGTGCACGTCAGCCTCTGTCCTATGACACTTGTGTTATAACAGCTGGTCAGTCGTAGTAGGAAGAGTGTGTGTACCTTTCGGTTGGGATAACCACTTTGACTACGGCATCGTTCAGAGTCTGTTTGTGAAGTCAAATCAAATAGTGGAAATTATTAAAACGTGCGTACTTGTACAGATGAAACACTGCAGGAGAAATACAGCATAGAAAACAATGATCGCATTCGTAATCATCCGGGAACTAGGCAGGGTGACAGTACTCCAAAACAAAAGATCTACACAAGGTGAGATATTTTTTAATAACACTGATTTGTTTCCAAATACACAGCCTTTTTTTAAATACTTGCAACATTTGACTGCAGGAGCTAGGATTGGGCGGTACTGATCATTTTCATACCGCGGTATACGGCGTTACTGGGCGGGGTGAAGTCTGCGGCACGTTGAGTAATTAATAATTAGCAAATAAACAGCTGCTTGTGAGCATTTACATGTATATAATTTGACATTCTAGAGCTAGAGAGAAGCATGTGGACAAAACTCAGCTGTGTTAACACGTTGCTGTCACTCAGAGCAGCAGGAGAGAAATTACAGAATGGTATTTGCTCCTTATTATTTGGAACAGATCAAAATAAGTCCAACTATACACTGCTGCGTGCTATTAGCCAGTCTTTGTGCCGATAAAATTTGTAGGTATTTTCTCCTTTGCAGCGAGAAGCTAACCCTAACCCAGGGGTCTGCAACCTTTACGATCAAAAAAGCCATCTGTGCTACTTGATACACTAATAAAATGTGTCCGGAGCCGCAAAACAAGCTACAACTATGATTAACAATTGGTGGTTCGTGAGCCTTTTCAAGGCCTTTTCGGGAAACTTTACAGTCAGTGGAGGAGACGTTAAAATTTTTTTTTTTAAATATTATTTATTATTATGCACATCAGAACAAATAAAAAGACCATATTCATGTAAACAAAAAAAATACTGTATATTGTTTTTAACGAATTTCATAAAAACAACTGAATTATTCAGGCACAATTTTTTTCTAATTATTATGTACCTTAGTCTTCAAATTATTTATACGTAATTCTGATGGATTTGAGAGAACGATCATAGAAAGAAATTGGAATATTTAAGTAAACAACAGGCTAGCATGAGCTAACATGTTTTACTTTTTGTATTAGTAGTATTGATCACATATTTGCATATAAATTGATTTCTGTCATGGGTAAAAAAAATATCATGTTTGGTCACATTTTCAAAGAGCCACTGCAGAGGGACCAAAGAGCCACATGTGGCCCCAGAGCCGCAGGTTGCAGACCCGTGCCCTAACCCAACATCACAGAAAGCTTTAATCTGAGAGGAGTCCAGCTAATTGTTTGACTATAGAAACCCCCCAGCTGGTTGGTCCTACAGCTGTTAGTCAGCATTAAACCAGCCCATCTTTCCAGGATTTGACAAATAATATTTCAGTCTCTACCTCACTCACACTCATTTTCTGAATGAGCTAAGGTGGTCTGAACTCGTGTCAGTAACGTTATGGAGCGTCCTCTGAAAAAGCCCAGAATGTTTTTGTCCCAGTTTTTATAGCAGCCTTGTGGAAATTTGGCACCTCACCCCACGTGACTCATACCGTTGTAATTTTTAAATACCGTCTCCATATTTTAATACCACGGTATGCCAAAATACTATCATACCGCCCAAGTCTAGCAGGAATGCATCACGTTAGCTGTATTCAATTAGTTTACAAAAACTGAAGTTAAATTTTGTCTAACAGGTTGGAAAAAATATCTTGAATTAGATGTTTCATAAGATTTTAAATTAGTGTGGCAACATAAACGCCAAATAATGACTTTGTACAGAGGCAAAACACAGAAAAAAATTGTTAAGAGTAATTCCTAGTTATTTTTATACTTTCTAGTACTTTAGTTTAACACCCATTATTAGGAGACAGACTTTACCTTGGCGAGCTCTGCTTTAGACATGGCCGTGGACTTTGTGAAAGTATTGCGCAAGCGATCCCTTGGCTGAGCATTGAAAGGCAGGCCAGATGAGGGYGGAGGGGCTGCTTTCAGCCTAACTGGCGTGTACAGAGGCTGAGATGGAATGCGAGCCGGTTTGCCCCATCCTAGTCTCATTTCAAGGCCCATAATCACTTTACCTGGAACGCCACACAAATTTCTGAGGTTACTCTCAATATGGAGATAAAACACGGAGCTACAGCAGAGGTGGAATGGTCAGTAAGTTCATCTGGACCGTTTCCAAAAGTCTACTTTACCTTCAAGAGCAGCCATGGCTCGCTCCGCATCTTTTCGCGTCATAAAGGCCACAAAGGCTCTGTTGGAAGGTCTACAGCGCTCCTCCTCGGTTCGGGGCCACATGATCTTCACACTGGCCAGGGGGCCGTATTTGCAAAACTCTCTGCAGAGCAACTCTTCGTTCATCTGGAAAAATCAACATGAAATGAGAGAAATGCCTCTCACTGTGAAAAGTGAATCAAAAGGAGGTAGCTTGTTTACCTTGGGACTAAGGCACTTAATGGAAAGGTTAGTAGAAACTTTCCACTTTGAGTCGTCATACAGTGCTGTGGGACGAAACAAGACCAAGGTTAGCATAAACTGGAGCTCAGGGACTCTGTTCAGATCATGGATCCTTAAAGGGGACTCCTACTTGATTGTTCCAGCAGAGGAATGTCAAGATAATCATGTCCTCCATCTCTTCCTCCACCTGGATCACTTTTCTTCCTTTTATATCTTTCCTCACGCTCTTCTTGTATTCTGCATTTTCACCACACACAGAATACAAGCTCATGTGGGTGAAAAAAAGACATCATAAGGTCACACAAAAACAGGAAATTGGGACAAATCTGAAAACCAACTTACATCTTAAGCTCCTCTTTGAAAAGTTCAAGATTGCTCTTCTTCTTTTCTTCTGTCTTTTTCTTAAATACCTGTTCATCAAACAGGAAGCAAACACAGCTGTTAGAGCTGATGATAGTTTTACTAACAAAAGCGAGAGAGCATGCACATCCCTGTGCCCTATTTTTATTTTGTAAATAGTAGGGTTGTAACAATAAAAGTGGCACTGAACTGGACTGGATGAAAGAGCACTATATACTATATATTTATAGTGACATTACATGCTACATACATACATAATAGTTTTATTTTTGATAAGTTAAACATGAAACTGCACCAACTTACAGACTTCTTGCTTTCAGCAGACGATGTTGGTGGAACATTTTGAGACACAGGGACAAACTTTGAGGTGGGTCGGTACAGCTTACTTTTCTTGTCTTCTGCTTCTTTCTCCTCTGCAAAAAGTATACATGTGCACAAAAAATTTTAATTTGGCTATTTGCTCTGGCAAAATAGGGACAATACTGTCCTCTCAACAATTCAACTCAGTTCTATTTATTTACATAGCGACAATTCACAACAAAGGCTGCCGTGTTCTTTATACTCACCTTTAGTTGCATTCACTATTCCCCCTCGCACAAAAGTCTTTGCTTTGCTTTGGTCACTGGTTCCAAATGATGCCACAAATTCTTCAAAGACCTCAGCTGCTTTCTCTACTTCCTGGTGTCACACACACAAAAAATTATCCCCTACTTTAAGTCAGTGTTGATTTTATTCCATGAAAATGTGTAATTGAACAAGAAAATGCAACATCTGAATCACACACCTTTTTCTTCAGCTCTTCTTGTTCTTTTTTGCTGAGTGGTTTGATTGGAGCAGACGGTCTTCTCTTTCTTTCTGCCATTCTCAAACTAAGATTAAAGACAGATGAAGAAAAAAAACATGAGTATAGTCTTTCAAATGCTAGTGAGGTACATCAGCCATTTATGTTTTGTTTAAATTATTTGTGTTTTCTTTTTCATCTTAAATGCAATCTCCAAAAAGATTTAAACGGTATGGATGGATCATTCGAAAACAAAAGCACAAGCTCAGCAATCTGCAGGGAAAACTACAGATGTGTTCAACTTTGACATCTTTAAAATCAAGTCTTAGTGTTGCTTGTCTATTGCATTAATTAAAAATTTAAATACAGGACACGAATAGTTGAAGGACAGGGAATAACAATGTATTTTATTACAAAATGTTGCTGCTCTGAGTGACAAGACTAAATAGAGAATCAACATTATTTTTCATAATTTCTGTTACTCTGAGCATCTCATCTGTATGTCAGATCAAAGCTGCAGGACAGGACCAGCATGACTCTGCAAAACCACACATCTAAACATGACAAAACACAATCTAGCACTAAAATACACACAATGACAGACTGAAAACTGCTGAGGTGTATGTCTACAAGTCTCAGGGGGGATTGCTTAAAACAAACAGTATCACATAAATTAGCTATCGATTTTAACTTGATAACACAAATATCATACAGCTCTCTTTAATGCACAAGTTGTTTTAGTGAATTTCTTGTCAAAACTGCTGTTTTCACAGGCCTCATCTAACTTARCTTAGCTAACGCTAGCTTACAGTGATTTTTTTGTAGCCTAGCTAGTTGTGTTGGACTCAACTGTAGCGTTTACACAAACAGTGTTGCATAGCTAGTTTTTACTTAGTGGTGCAGTTGCTTTGCATGCAACTATTAACAATTACCTTTGTGTTTCTTACAGAAAAAAATATCCTTGCTACTAGCTAACACAGTTACTCTGCTGCTAACGCCACAAAACCGACTGCACATCCTTTCAACAGCACTGCATGCAGAGAGCTTCATACCTTGGGCAAACTCGTTTCCTACGCTAATGCTTCATTATTTTGGTTACGACGTAAGGGGTCTGTCATAAAAAAAAAAAAAAAAAGCCACCAAGATGCGAGAAGATTCACGCTGCAGCTGCTCAATCTGCACGTCGTCCAATGACTCTAGTGTACGCTCCTCCCCCTGACGGGAAAATATACACACTATGATGAATTTTTCATTATTGTTTTTTAATGTCACTGCTTTTATTCTTTCCATGTCTGCTCAGGTTAGTTGTAGAAATGTGTTATCCAACTTTTTCTGAAGTTTTTTTTATGAAGCCGTGTAGACATTTCCTGTTCAGTGGCTTTCTCAGAGGCGTTAATAGGATTCTGAAAACTTGGGGGCTTGGCCCAGACATATTAGGATTTTAAACATTGTTGATTGCACATATTTACACAGCTACAATTTACAAAACTTAATTCACAACTACAACAAAATATATACAACTGTAATTTGTGCCCATAGATTGTTGTATAATTTTCAAAGAATTTCAGAGTAGAATTAGTAAAGATGGTAAATTTAGATTTATAGGGTAGGGATGGGCAATACTGAATATGACAGTCGTTCCCAACCTTTTTAGACTTGTTTACCCCCCCACCCCGAGCCATTTTGTCACACCACTAGTACCCCTTCAGTTAAACGTAATGATGATTCTCCAAAACTATAAAGTACTACAACTGATTATCAAATGAAAATTATTTATTTAACCCCCCTAGAATGTTTAAATCTCAGGCATTTTATTTTTTCAACTCAAACTAAACATAAAGATAAAGATGTTGTCTTGAAAGTGAATAGGTAATTAAAYAAATAAACCAAGTAATGCAGGTGCAGAAAACAGCAGCATCCAAAATACATTGTATTGTCCAAAACATGTCAGAAAATCACCTAAAAAAACAAATTCCATGAAATTCCACGTTTTACACTGGTTGGGATTGAATCACTGCTTTAGACAGTGTGAAGGATTGAAGGAACTGTCCAATGTGTTGAAAGTGCTGGTATATTTCAGGACTTTAGGCAGTGTGAAGGATTGAAGGAACTGTCCAATGTGTTGAAAGCGCTGGCATGTTTCAGGACTTTAGGCAGTGTGAAGGGCTGAAGGAACTATCCAAGGTCCTGAAAGAGCTGGCATGTTTCAGGACCTTGGAGGGTGTGAATGGCTGAAGGATCTGTCCAAGGTCCTGAAAGAGTTGGAACATTTCAGGACATTGAACAGTGTGAAGCAGGGGTCTTCAAACTTTTTTCTTAAGAGCTACTTTCACAAAATGAAAATGGCCAAGAGCTACCTTTTGCAAAAATTAATTTTAATCTTAAAAGCAAAATATTTAAAAAATAAGCTTGTTTTGCTTGAACATACACTAAATAAAACACTTCAATTCACGTGAAATCCCCATAAATAACACTGAATTTACATGAATATGCTTTTYGTGTTTCTCCATTTATATCATAATGTATTTCACACTCCTAACTTAGGGTTCAACATAACGTATTTTTCTCACAAGAGGAAATTCAGTCAGTACTAAGAACTTTCAAAGTTAAGACATTAAAGTTAAAACATTCAAAACAATGTAATCTTAGGTGCAAAATATTTAATCTTCACTTGTCAGCCGGTTTTTGCACATTCTTATGCGTAGTTTCCTGTTTGTTTTGCTCAGTACGGAATCAACAAGAGAGCTGAGTGATGGAGTGTAGCCACTTAGGTTCACCCTTATTGAGTCATTTAAATGTTCATCTATCATTCTTGTTCTGAACTTTGATTTTAGGACGTTCATCTCTGAAAACTCACAGAGGCATGTAGACCCAAAAAGTGCAGACATTTTCAGAGCTGCTTGAAGAAGGTTTTTGTAGTTATTTGAGTCTACTAAGGTCCAGAAATGCTGAGACGTTTTCGCACACACCTTTATATTCCCAGAGACCCACTGTGAAAACCCCTCTCGCTGCAGCAACTACAGGRGGTTTCCTCCCGCTCTGCTCCCGCTGTGTCTGCGGGGAAAAAAAGTCAGTGACCCGTCACCAGATGTTATTTATTCACAAAGCTGTCCAGGTTAAAGTTTCAAAGTTTTTATCAGTTAGATTCCTCAGTGCACAATATCTTCTTTTATCTCCATCCATGAGTTTTTTGGCTGTTTGACTATCGTTGTGAATCGTTGTCTTCTTGCAGTTGGCTCTGGAAGCGAGTCACTTTTTTGAGTGATTGAAGCAAAATGCAGCGTCTGAACACTTTCAGCATGAACATACGGTCCCACTAACGCTGCATGTTGCTTCACTTTGGCTAGTGACAAATCAAATTTTGCTACACCTAATTTTTCAGAAGCATTAAAGAGCTACTATGAATAAGTTTGCGAGCTAGCGAGCTACTCTTTGGAGACCCCCTGGTGTGAAGAGTTGAAGGAACTGTCCAAGGTCCTGAAAGTGCTGAAATGTTTCGGGGCTTTAGACCAGTGGTTCCCAACCTTTTCAGACTTGTGTACCCCTGAGCCATTTTGTCATACCACTAGTACACCTTCAGTCAAACGTAAAGATGATTCTCCAAAACACTAATGTACTACAACTGATTATAAAATGAAAATTATTTTTTAACCCCCAGAACGTTTAATTCTCAGACATTTAWTTTTTTCCCCAACTCAAATTAAACATAAATATAAAATGTTGCCTTGAAAGTGAATAAGTAATAAAATAAAACAACAGCATCCAAGCTACATTGTATTGTCCAAAATACATCAGAAACTCACCCAAATGAGCAAATTCTCGAGATTCCACATTTTATACTGGATTCCATTTTATGTTGATTCCGTGATTCCCACTGTAATATCTGCATTGCGGAAATCATAGGGCCCTACATACAGTATCTCAGTCCTGTTTTTATTTATTTTTACACACCTGGGGAATTTTTCCATGTACCCCCTGTAATATGCTCGCATACCCCATTGGGTACAGGTACCCCTGGTTAGGAATCATTTGAATATGGAATTGATCTGATAGCAAGTAAATACAGGGCTAATATCACCAATACAATGTTGATACCTTTATTTGAATAATTTTGTGATTTTGCCTTTAGTTAGTCAATTATGTTAAACAACCATTGGATCATATGAGCAACACAGATTTTTTTATTACAATTTTGAGGGTGAAGATACAGGTAAATGTCAAAAGGGGTTGACATTCATGTAAGTCAGGAAGTTTGAAGAAGCACAGCTTACAGATTCCTTCTCCTTGGTTCCATTTGTACCCAGATGCTTTGATACAGACAAATATGTTAGTCATGTGTGATTACAGCTCCCAGAGCAGTGACGGACCTAAACTTGGCACAAAGGTAACCACAAATAAAGAAAACTATTAAAAGCAATAGTTATGATGGCACATTCACATTATAACTTAAATGTAGCTGATACTGATGTGTGAAAAAAACGTAATTCACAAGATGCACATAGAGAATTTACTATTGTCTTGGATGCATTACTGTTTTTTTTAAGTGATCTACAAGTGCTTGTAACATTAGACATTATTTCATAAACATTTRCTTAAACTGTTAGACAGACTGTAAAATACTCTAGGCTGTTTAGGTTTTATAAATATAGTATTGTCAAATGGACATTTCAGATTATGACATAACATTTGATAATTATATTGTCTCAACATGATTTAGCATCTACTATCTCATAAATTTGTAATACTTTTTCAAAACCATAGGTAACATCTTATGAGATATGTCATAGATCTTCATCAGTCAGGATTTTTAATCACTTCTCATAAGAGGATCTTAATTAATCAGAGAAAAATGGGCTTCTTCATTTACCGCACAAGATTCAATATTATTTAAATATTTATGTTTGTTTGTTTTTTCAGTTCTAACGCTTTTTAAAATTTATTATTATTATTATTATTATTATTATTATTATTATT